CACGTTTCCCTGTCCCCTTCATCAGTTCCAGCCAACTCCGCAGACTGTGCTACACTGCAAAGAGACATTGTCCGAGCATTTAGTATCAAAACCTCTCAATTTAGGGTCTAACTATTAAATCTGGAAACAGGAACGTGCAGCTGGGCTCCCGCAGCTGCCCAGAGTGCTACTGCACCTTTCTGTCAGTCCGTCAGGGAGGTAGCTCCCCACGAGAGGTATTTAAGGAGGTTATTTTATTATTATTTATTATGTGGCCCCTTAATCTTTTTAATGCAGTAACGTATTTTTGCATCAAACTATCAGCATTTCTCACTGCCACCGAGATGAACAAAGTTGGACTGATTTTAAGTGAATCTGCTTAAAAGGAATTGAGTTGTTAATGATACTCTGCTTTGAAAAGAAAAGCTTAAATAGCCTTTGGAAGCCTGAAACCCGCAAAGGATGACACTGGTCACTCACTAATCAACCATTTACAATACATAAATCAAGCAGCACCGTTCCCGCAAAGGCACAGAGCTCACCTGACCAAGGTCGGAAGGTAAAATACTCAGACCCCAGTTCTCAGAGTTAAACCAGCTCTGGGCTGTTCTGGTCCTACAGAAATAAGCGTGGCTTGTCTCGCTGTATCCAGGTAGGCCGGGACACCCAAAACCAATGTGCTCAACTCTGCAGGTCTGATGAGACTCTTTGGCCTTGTAAAACCAGACAATAAGAACAATTTAAAAAAAAAAATTCTAATGGTCACTGTCACTCAAAACATCCAGTTCAATTCAAGGAGGTATTTGTATGATGGTAAGTCAACTTTATATGGAAAACATATTTTGATTAAACCAGCTTTTAAAAAAATCTACCCAACACACTTCAGGTAATTTTTTCAGCTAATGAATATAAAACCTTGGTTCACTTATTTGAACTCCACTTTTTAAAGATTCCTTGACAGCAGTTGGAAGAAAAATCCACCATACGAAGAGAGAATTCTTAAGAACTACCCTTCAAAAGCATGATGACCAAGTGTGTTAGCATTTGTAACTAAGCAGGACATTCTCCTAGATCGAGAGAATCAGCCTCAAGTGCCACCGACATTTAGCAAAAGACACGCACCACACTGACACCACATCTCCTTCTGCACTGCAGCTACTGAAGAGCACCAGGCGCTTCTCTCTTTACTGGGAGCCACAGACCTCTACTTTCCAGCTTTTCCGATCAGCCCCTGTGGCAACACCAGGTTCTTCAGGTCTGTATGCTCAGAACTGCACATTTTTAAATTATACTCCAGACACTGAAACGAAAGAAATGTGTCAATGATGAAGGGAAGCTGAACAACAAATCTACTCCCCCATCTGGGTAAATTATTTTCCAGTAATTAATTCCCACAGGACATACATTTAAAAGATGTTATATCTGTGTGTGTGTACATATATAAAGTTATTATACATCTTGGGAATTTCACTTCCACTTAAGAAAGAAAAATAATCAGTTAAGTTTTTGCGTGTGGTTAGAAAAGAAAGAATCCTTAGTAAGCACTCATTATCTTCCAGATACATATATATGGAATTAAAATAGTTTTAAAACAATCTCTGTGTATAAAATCACTTGCTTTTCCACTCTAGGGCTGTAGTTCTCTTCAGAGGAACTGTTACAGGAGGGACATTTTTTCTGTAAAGACCACATGCCTAGCTCATTCGAGCTAAGTAAAGAGCAAGATGAAATTACTCTCCAGAACCTGTTTGAGCCGTGAAGTAATTGCCTGCTTCCGTAAAAACAGAGGAGGAACTTCACAGACTTTTCCTTAGCTCTGTTACAAATCACCTCAAAGCTGTGGGGGTAACCTCCCCCCCGTAGAGGCGCCCCGCCGCAGACCTGCACCTTCCACAACCCTGGCAGCCGCTACCCAGAGGGACCAAAATTCCCATTTCCACAGAAACGTGCCGCTGTTTCCCAGGCAACTGAGAATTTTGCGGAGTGCCAGCAGTTGCCCACCAGCGAGCAGACTGGAAAGCCAGTGCTTTCGGGCACAGGCCAGGGGTGCGTGGGGCATCATGCTGGAGGCATCACGCCCAGGCACCTCCGTAAGAAACAGCGCTTCATTTTTTGTTTATTATCCATCAATTTTAAAGTAGTGCTTGGAATGCTAATGCTGCTGTTTGCTAGAGGCACCCTGTGGGGTTTTAGTTTGTCCTAGACAGCTAGTCCAGAGCTGTACCAGCGAAGCAGAAGGTAGAAATCCCGGAATTCGGTTTCATCCTGCGCTGGCAGCAGTCTGTGTGTGAAGAGTGGGAATAAACCTGGCCATCAAAATCAGAGGGATGGGGAACTCCAACGAAAACAGACCCAATGTCACAGAGTTAAAAGCAAAGAGAAGGGCAAAGAGCTTTCCAGGGAAAAGTGACAGGAAGCTGGTACCTGTCTTCCTGCACGGAGCAGATACTTGACCTTAAGCGTTCCCAACAAGTGCGCTGGCGAACACGCGTGTTTACCCTGAGAGTCACTCGGGGCAAGCAAATTACAAACCAGAAGGGATATTAAAAATTACAAAGCATAAGCGTGCCGGTAACAGGCTGAGCTTCAGAACCCCTCCAGCAACAGGACGCCTGCTACGTGGCTGGGGTTTTATCCTCTTCTAATCAGTGACGCTGCAGACGAGGTGAAAACACCTCATGCAGCATACCTGTATGACAGTTTACCTGGCAAAGCTGTCAGTGAGGCAGATCAAAGTAGCACGGTGCGTTCCTTGGTAAGGCTGCAATCCTCACCCAGCCCCTAAGGCAGCCCCTCCCGTGGAGTCAGCGCTGCCAGACCCGCTCGGGGAAAGAAAACATCTGCTCTCTCCTGAAGGACATGGAAATGCTCGTCCTGACTTTCTACCGCGCTGCACCCAGACTAAATCCGCATCAGAAACGCTGCCTCCCCATCCCACAGCAGTGCATGAAGCCCTCCTGCAGCACCAGCACAGCAGCTAAGGTTTTGCTGTGAAAAAAAAAAGAGATTAAATGCCATTATGGGCAGTGTTTTCCATGTATAAGTCACCTCTACAGTAAAGGGTGACACAACTTTTGAAAAAGCCCCAGGAGGCGGAGGTGCTGCTCTGGTATTTGTCAGCGCTCCAAAAGGAAGGGAGTCTGCTACGCAGCTCCCGGGTTTGCTCTAACGACAGGACAGGCACCAGACATGGGAACCAACAGCCCGACCTCCAGCCTTCCCATTCCCGCCCGTTTCAGCTCTCCTGCTGTACCCCACCCCACATATATCCCACACCCAAGTCACAGCAATTCTCAACCAGGGATGTTCTGCCCCTTGTCCCTATTCCTACCACAGCGACTACACCACCATCCCGGATCTTTACACGGGGTTTCCTTATGACCTGACGGGAGATGAGCACAGCCAAGGAGTCTGTCCAGTTTCCCCATCAAGCTGCCCTGACAGTTCCCTCCTGACCCCTCCGCAGGCTCCTGGTCTGCTACTGCAACAAGACTGCACAAGTCACTGCGTTCAAAAAACCAAAACGTACTACTTTATCCTTCTCCATACGCATATCCCGTTGCTGAGACTCACTCTCCACGCCTCTCTCCCGAACTCTATGAAAGCTTCTGGTTTTGAGCATTCGTTTCAAGAATTCTACGATTTATCACGGAGCGGTTTGGGCTGGAAGGGCCCTCAAAGCCCCCCCAGTGCCCCCCCCTGCCATGGGCAGGGACACCTTCCATAGCCCAGGTTGCTCCAAGCCTCATCCAGCCTGGCCTTGGACACTCCCAGGGATGGGGCATCCACAGCTTCTCTGGGAACCTGTCCCAGTGCTCCCACCCTCTGCGGGAAGAATTCCTTCCTGATTATCCACTTCCAGCAGGAAGCCACCACCCTTGCCCGTGCCCTGCAGAGCCCCTGCGCGCTGCTGCCCCCCGGCAATCCCACCCCGGCGGGGCCCGCGTCCGGGAAAAACCAGGAGAAGGGCCCAAGGC